AGCCAATATTAAGGATGGGTGATGCCAAAACTATCTCCTTCATCAGCGCGCAGCTCTCTCTAGCCAGCAGCATGCCCTCGTCGGCCTGCCTTTGCAGCTTGGCGTCGTTGGAGGCCAGCCCATAGATCTCGATTTTGCTCCTCACTGGCGGCACAGGTCCTGCGAAGTTCCACCTAGCGGCCGAAAAAATGCCACACGGCGGGCCCACGTCCCGCGTCCCAACCTCCTTCCTTGGCCTTCTTGCACAGCGACAGGTAGGGCTCGTCTGCAAGCAGGTTCTCCTTCATGTCCCTGACCAACTGCAGTGGAGGGCTCTTCCCAGGACGTCGTTCTTGCCCGGGAAGACGTGCAGGAACTTGAAGATCCGGGCCCTCTTGAAGCCAGCGAAGTCGCTTGCCTTCAGCAAAGTCGCCCTCATAGGTCCGGAAGCCAAGGTGCATCATCTGCATCATCGCTCGACCCTTCCCCCTGCCCTGCGAGCTCAGCCATCTTGACTGAGAAAGTCCATCAACGGCAAGGCGCATAAGGCTGGCACCCCACATGTGCAAGCAACGCTGCTCACGCAAAGCTGGGCAGACAAGTCGAGCGCATATCCCTTGTTCACTTGAGCGGGCACGCGTCATTGCGGTGAGACGGCAACAGGCAGATCTGGCATTTATGAGCTCGTTTGACCTGGCACTTGCAGCCACCTCCGGGAGGCACATCTTCTGGAATGCATGCTGAAGGCCAGACTGATCCTTGATCTTGCCTTTGTCGCGGCCCTTCTTTGGGTGTCCCTCGCTCGGATCCATCTCATTCACGGACTTCAGCCTTTGCAACTCTTCGCGTTGCTCCTGCATCCGCTTCTTCTTTGCTGCGCGCTTGTCCCGGTTTGCCTGCTTCTTGCGGCGCAAGTCCACGGCCGCCACCAGGGAAGCGAAGTTGCCCTCAATGCCCGCAAAGTGAGCTCCTGCGGTAGCTTCTGCAGCAGCCACCGGAGCCCCTCGCCCCGCAGCCGCCATCCACGACACCGCCGGATGCCTAATCTGTTCTGACCAACGTCCTTGGTGAGGGGCTGGAAGCAAGTTGTCAGCGAGACTATCCCTAACATCAGCGAGGCCGTCTTGAAGACCT